GCTCTGTGACCCCCGCGCTCTGTGACCCCCGCGCTCTGTGACCCCGCTCCCCGCAGCGCTGGAAGCGCGGCTGGTCCGCGCTCTACCCCGCCAGCCAGCACGGCGTGGCCCGGCTAGAGGTGTTCGACTGCAAGGAGCCGTCGGCGGCCGGGAGAGCGGGCACCCGGCGACTCGCCCGCACCGTGGTGCGGCTCAGCGACTGCACCAGCGTGGCCCCGGTGGGCGAGGGCGGCCCCCGAGCCGGCACCACCACTTTCCGCCTGGAGACCCGCGACCGCAGCTTCCTCTTCGCGGCCGAGAAGCAGCAGAGTGAGGAGTGGGTGGCGAAGCTGTGCCAGATCGCCTTCCCGGTGAGCCCCGGAGTGGGCGGAGGGGACAGGGTGGGACACGGACATCGCTGTGTGTTGGTGATCCCTTCTCACCTGGCAGCTCAGGGAAGGACACCCTAAGGCAGCTCCAATGGTCCCAGGTTTGCAGCGCCCAGCCCTGGCACTCCGGTGCCCTCTCGATGGCTCCTGCTGTGGTTTGCGGGACTCCTCAGCGCGCTGTCAATAATTCGTGGTTGTGGCTCCAAATTTCAAGTCGGGCTCTGCTTGCCCGATGTAGAGCCCATGCTCGCCCCTGCAGAGAGCTGGCAGGAGGCCAGGTGATGGCCGAGGAGCGTTTCCTCTTGGCCCAACCACTGCTGCCTTTCCTGCCACAGCGGAAGCGCAGCCTCCAGAGCGTTGTGGTGCCTGGCTCCAGGACCCTTCTGGTTCCAGCTCTTGGATCCCCCTTTCCCAGCCTCGGGGCTCGCTCCTGGCTCCTGCTGGGGACACCCCATCTGTGCTGGGTCTCTGGAACAGCTGTCCAGCCCCCCATCCTCTGCAGTCAGCCAGTGTGACCAGCCAAGGCTGTTGGGGCAGTGGGTGACCTCAGAGGGTGGTTTTCCATGCCCCCTGGGACAGCAGCCCACGCCTGCCCAGCTCCACAGTGCTGGCTCTCCCTCCTGGGAGGTGTTTGCAGAGCCCTAGGTAGGACTCCAGCCTATTCCAGGCTTGGAGTGCTGGGCAGAGCTGCCTGGTAGGAGGATGGGTGTACAGCTCCAGGATCTCCTCCTGATGGGTGTTTGCTGAGTGTGATTTACCTTTGTCCCTCATGTGTTTCTCTGCAGTCTTCTGCCAAGTGCATCTGTGCAGTAAATGTCAAGGCTGATGGAGCTGGGCGGCACTGGTGGAAATGACTCTGTGTCTCCTGGTTCAGTCAGGGTTGCAGCCTTTGCTCTGAAACTGGCTTTTGGGGCTGAGCTGGGGACACAGCACACCCCTGGAGTGGGGAACGGTGGTGGCCAGGCCAAGGAGCACCTGCTTAGAGCAGGGCTGTGCTCGCCCCATCTCTCACATGGGAGCCATCATTTGTGTGCCTGAGGTCCAGGAGCAAGCTGACGGTTTAGGAGGTTGTGAGCAAAAGGCTGCAAGGCTGGCATGTGTTTTAAAAAGGCCTGACCTGGAGCAGGAGACACAACAGCTGCACGTGGCCTCTCTGCACAGAGCTGGAGATCCTCAGCTGGGATTGCTGATTTTTTGCATGGACAATGTGATTTTGTGTCATGTTCCTACCCGGAGGGTATGCAGGGTCCAGCAGCTTGGGAACTGGGGCCAGAGATCATTTGGAGTTCAGAGCAGATTTTTTTTTTCCTTTGGAAGATGAGGAAAAGTGCAGTCAAATGGAGCCTTAGAAGCTCTGGCAGATTTGGTGCCCCTTGGCTTTCAATCCCAGGCTGAAGCCCTGCATTGGATGCTTTAGCTGAGGAGGAGCTGCTGCTATCAGCTCTCAGGACATGAGATTTTAGGACCCAAACACAAGGGCTGGATGGTGCTTTTCTTGGCCCTTTCTTGTTAACAAGCTCATGTGTGTGGGTTTTAAACTGAAATTTTGGTACTTGATTTGCAAGATGTACCCTCTGCTGCAACCCCAAGGAACAGCTCCAGCTCCTGGCCACACACTGAGCCT